ATTGATCATAAACGTGTCCACAGAAAGACTTGACGATGGACTCTTTGAGCCGTAAGGCCGCAGAGAATGCAGAGTGGGAAGATTAGCCGAGCAAGTTTAAAGTTCTGTTTCACTGGCGCTGTTGAATGGAGATGGAGATTTATAAAAAAAAGGAGAGAGACAGATAGGAGCATCTCCGAACGTACAGCATGTGATACTGAAGGCAGCACGAGCAGGAAAAATTCATATCACGCTTTTTGTAGATATAATTAAAAAAAAATGGTAACATTTTAAGCAGCTGCATCTCCAAAAAAATATATAGTGAACTAGTCAGAAAAATTTTCTATATATTCTATAATTGAATATAAGTCTTTATTTGTTTGGTCTTTCACTAATTGTAATTGCATATTTCCATTATGAAAAACGCATAAAGAAATGCTAAATTAATGGGGAAAATCTGTAAACTTTACAAAAAAAATGTTACAGTGTAGTTTTATTGAAGATGTTTTTATCCCACACATCACTTCCATTGGATTGTTTTTCTGTATCCCATACGGCACAGTTATATTTTAAACACTTTCAACTGGCTGCTTGGTTCAGTATATTCAATATACTTATTGCATTATTAGATCAAAATTATTCGTCTTTACAACATCCATGTATTAGCAAAATGGAGGCATATGAAGTATGGACTGTACTCATATTATATTACAATTACCTAAATAGCGTCTGTTCCCTGCTGATGTCCTCTGCTAACTGTTTAAGGTAGTCACCGTTAGATTAATGCTAATGTAGCTGCTGGTTACCTAACCTGATGGTAGTGTATGCAATTCCCCAGTATGGGATCTTCTCTCCTCTCTCCTGCCCTCTCCTCATCTCCGTCTCTCTTCCTAACCCACCTAGGAGTCGGGGTCTGTCCTAGGTTTCTTGCCTCTTAAGAAGGTAAGTTTTTTTCTTGCCCCGCATGTCTCCAAGGCTCTTTGCTCATGGTGGTCAGTTGGGTCTCCTGCTCTATTGAAACACTGTCCGTGAGATAACTCTCTGTTATGAATGTACACCTATATCAAATAAATTGAATTAAAAGAAGCTTTAGCCAGCAGGTAATGTTAGATGCATTTAGCTACTTAGCCCAGGGTTGGCCAGGAGCCAATAAATATACTATATACATACTTTATTCCTCCGTACGGCATCATATGTTAGCATTCTGTTTCAGTTTTCAACTTGGACTTTTAAACCGATGGAATAAAAGTCCCATATTTGATGAGTTTGTGGTTTAAAACTGACCAGCTGACATGTGATGTAGTTGTACAGCGCTCCACCATCCCTAAGCATGAAGCTGTTGTTGCGGCTCTGAATGAGGTGAAAAAACGCAACAGCCCCAGCTCCTTGGAAGCAATACACTTATGCCATATTTCTGTTGCTGCTCCTTGGGCCTTAATGGGGCTTGATGGACAGTAATAGCTTCATTCTAAGGTGGACCTGCATTTTTCAGTCAGTACAAAACAAGCTTGCCCGCGTGACTTCCTCGTATTACATACGAGCACAAGGCATTAAACAGAGGCTTTCTTATTACGAACGCACTGAGGTTGTGGATGTAGGCAGTGGGCCATTGTTTGAGCTACGATAAAATGGTTCCAGAACATCTTGAAGAAGACGAGAAACGGGACATTTGTTTGCATCAGGAACACAGGAGGCCATTATAATCATACAATTCATTTCCAATGGCAACATCCCAGCAATCAATACCCTTTCATTCTCATTGAACTGCCCATCCTTCAGCCCCCGCGACTCACCGTCTTCTCTGGCTTTTCCATGGATGATCAAGCATCCGCTTTTCATTAAAAATGACATTTCAACCGTATTTGGTCAATATAGTTGGAATTTAGCATTGAAAAAAACATGAGCAACGGAGTAGGGCTGTTATAAGGGCCATGTATGTCTAAATAATGTATAATCAGCTATTAATGTATTATTTTATGATTTTAATCATTTTTTATTACCATGGATAAAAAATCGGCGAACTTCCCTGACTTTCTCTGCTGCCTGTGGACTGATTTTAGTGGTGTTTTCTATGAGACAGTGTTCAGCACTAATGTTAGGGCTTAACAACAGAATCCCCTAACATCTACAACAACTGACACCAACGACAACCACAAAGTCAAGCTCAAAGGCTAACTTACTAAGCTTGTCAAAGTTATGGTAAAATTGTTTTTAAAGTTATTGAAGGGAGAAACTAAAGCTTCCAAGGCGTAACTGGCCTGCTAATTGACCAATTAGCAAGCCTCAATATTACTACTAGATACTAACATGAGGATAGTATTTTAATATAGTAAACATTAGCATAGTATCCTAAATTTTTACATACTGAACGTGAGTCATAGTATCCTAAATGTTACATAATATCATGTTAGCATAGATATCCTAAATATTAATCAGTCAATTCAATTTTATTTGTAGAGCCTACCAATTTCTGATCTAATCACAAAGCGGGTCCAGTTGACACGTCGGTAAGGGATGGGCGGGAAAGGAATCCATAACTCTGGGTCAGCATGGAGCTTGATTCATCCTCAGTGGGCTCTACAAATCAGAAAAGGTCAGCACTAATCTGTTTTAATAATTCATGCTCACAAATTATAATTTCATTGCATTAAAGCTGCAGTTGGTAATTTTTATTAAAATATGTTTTTGCCGTGTTTGCCTAAACGTTCACTATATTCTGATATTACAACACGAGACAGATAATCTGTGGGAAAATCGTGTTCTTCTGGTTTGTTTTAGTGCCCCTAATGAGGTTTGTAAGAATCCACCGGGTCCAAACGAAAGAGCCGAGAAAGATATAAAGACCATTTGGGTTGGAGGCTTGGAGATAGATGTTAATAATTGTAGATTACCTTTACTAACTGCAACATTAGTGACCATTACACACATTAATGCATCACTAATTATAATCTGAGCCTTTTTAATGAGTTTGACTTTTGGTACTTTAAGTGTATTTTGATGCTAATACGTACTTTAGTGTTGATTCTGGTGGCCCCCTGTGGACAACAGCGGTAGTGTTTCTACCACCTTGTTTCATTGATTTTAAGGGGAATCTGACCTGGTAGCAGACATTAAGAATAACTATATAGAAATATTAGTCTATGAGTCACATAGAGGCATTAGTAATGAACTGTTTCACAACCAGTTCTGCGTACTTATTCAATCTCTGATACCCCCAAAATAAACAATTGCCACACAGTAAACCAGGGGCTTTAAACTTGAATCCAGTTGGAAATAAAGACAAGAAACAGGCTGTGTAATACATAGATAAATATATGTAAGTAAATACATTCAACCAGCATGTTTACATCTGCATACAGAGGATTCACGACCTGCCACAAACCACCAGTTTACAGACAGGCAGGACGAAGATTTAGAACTTGTATTTGGATTACGTCGACCCCAAAACCTCCCTGTTAACTCCTGCGACTCTCAGCCAATTTAATCCCTGCTGTTTACAATCCACCGCTGTCGCCTTACGTAACACACACCCAGGCAGAATGACAGCAGCAGCAGCACGAGCAGCAGCTGGGATCCATCTCACACTTTAATCATTTAAATACCCGATCCTTAAACATCACGTAAAGTCAAAGCATGACTCGTCTGCAGGGTTCGAGTTACATTGGAGCTCTAATACGTAATTTTAATCCCAAATATTTCAATGCAATGAGTATTATTTCATTCTTTCATATTTATTTAACATTACGTTAACTCTTTCTCTACGTTAATTCTGTATCTTGCTTGCTTTGTATCAGATTTACAACTCGTAAAACAGTGCACCGACTTTCATATGATACCAAACAGGGCAGAATTTTACCTTCCTCTCTTCTCCCCAGTTAGGTGATTATTTTATAACAACATTAATTATGTTGAGACAGTCGGTGTATTTTGTGACCAACTGGTTTTCGTATTGAAATGATAAAACCAAAATCAGGTAAACAACTGCTGTTTATAAATACGGGAAAGAAAGGTCCAAAGTTTTCTGTCGTCTGTTTTATTTTCAAAACAACAACAAAAAAACGCAAAACGGGTAATTTTTTCGTTTCTGTTTTTTTATTTTCAAATCAAAATAGAAAACAGGTATTTTTTGTCTTGTTTTTATTTTCAAAACATTTTTTTAATTTTATTTTTTATTTTTAAATTAAAAAATGGGTTGTTGTTTTTTTCACAGCAGGAAAAAAAATATTATTTTCGTTCTTCTCTCCTGATTTTGGTTTTCTGTTTTAAAAACGAAAATCTATTGCTGGCACAGTACACTGAGCAGACCCCCCCACAAAGCTCAGATTATACCTCGAACCCTGCTCGTAAATATTAGGGTTATATTAGATCTGTTGATTTTGCCCAGTTTGACCAGTTTTTTACTAATTTTTCCCACTACAGGAACTTAATGACCTGTAACATGTAAAATGTGAAAGAAAATTGATATTAATAATAATAATACTTGTTGTTTGCTGTGTTTCCAATAGCGCTCGCCTACCGAGAGTGATTCTTCCCTTATAGTGTCTCAAAAGTTCAGGTTAAAGTTCCTGCAGTGGAAGAAAAAGCCTTTTAGACAACAGATTTACCACTCTTCTTAAGAAAACATTTTCCAGGACCTTTCCAGATATTTTCCAGGACGCTTTCTTCTTTCTTAAATCACTCAGTTGCTGTGAGGATTTATTTTCCGAGTGCAGTAACGTCCTCTCGAGAGTCACATAACAGCAGATTCATGCAGTTAATTTCGTAGGGGGTCAGAGGTGAACGGTTCCCTGCAGCGGTTTCAGGTCCAGCCGCTTCCCCCCAAGGACGCCGTGAGGTTGCAGCACATTAACTTTCTGAGAGGATTGACCCTCTGACCTCTTGGTGATGGGACTGCCACTCACGTGTTTCCACACACTTGTGGCCCGTTGGTGAAAAACGTATAACCCCCGCCCCGGCTGACAAACAGAAATATATGTTTTATGGATGAGAATGAAAGACTTTATAATTAGCTTTTGTGCTCTAATGATATATGTTATAAATGCATGGTGTCAATTTTGGCCCAAAGCCTTTTCAAAGCTTCACATGCTTCTTAAAACTGCTTTTAAATATACAAAAACAAAATTTATAAAGAATGTTTTAGTATCTTAAACCTCTGTGTTCAGATCCAGTCGTGCTTGATGAACACCACCTGTTCACGAGCAGGTGTGTGTTTTATGCGGTTTGATCATTAACACAATCAATGCCCCCAAAATTACTCCGACTGGGAAAGTTCATCTCTCAAAAATGTCACAAAAGAGTAAAACGAAGAAGTTCACACAGTGGAAATCAGCAGATGTTGCAGTGACGGAATCAAACTGTATTTTTCAACCTGGACTTCATTAACGCTGCGTTCCCACCAAACGCAGACAAAATGGTTAATTATGATAATATAATAACAACTCTATGATACTACTTCATATTTGTACAGAGACAGACAAAAGGAGGAGAAAAAGGAAAAGAGGAAGTTGAAAAATATGTTACTTGACTCCTGCTATAAGTTTCACTATGAATTAAATTTGCATAGCTTTATCAACCAAACTCCAGTTGAAAATGAAAGTTGTTTGCTTGTCATTGACAAAATATTGGCATTGTGAACATTTTGACCCATTTATTAATATTAAATCATAGCAAATTTTTTTATTTTTTTATTTTAGATTATTTTTATTTGAATATTTGCTTTGCGTTTGGTGGGAACTCATCGTAATAGTTTGTTTGCAGTTGTAAATTTCCAATTACGTCATTACTCTGTTGAGTGTCTTGTGAATTTTACCTCACTGAGTTATTTCTTTGTGAAATGTTTCTCTTTAAGGGACCAGAAACAAGAGCAACTGTCGCTACAGGGGGAGTAAAGATGGAATAGTGGTGGTGATATTAGATGTCAGAAAATCAAAGTGAGACGGAAAAAGAAAGTTGCAGTGACAAAATAAAGAGTCTGGTGTGGCTGTAAGATAAGTTTTTAGGGCCTGGACCTTCTTGAACTTTGTTGATGCAGAAGAAAACAATATACTGGTGATCGGTTTCTTAAATCGCTTGCATGTGTCACTTAAAGGTACCCCATAGAGGTTTTAACCACAATTACACATTCCTGCCAATGGGTTTGATGGACATTGTGTCTCCACTTCCTCCCACTGTACAGAAATAAAGCCAAAATCTTTTATATCTTCAGATAACTAATTAAAACAAAGTTATCAGAAAAATTAACACGTGATAATAACTACAGAAAATGCCAGAAACCAACTTTGGGAAATTTTGGTGAATGTTTAGGCTTTATTTGGTTATATATGTCGATGCTTTCACCACACACTGCCGATTGAACGTCGACGTTTTAATGAAAGTAGTATGTTGTGTTTGAAATCACATACTTATGTACTATTTATACCAAGTGTGACATCTGTAGTGTGTTTCAACTGTATAGTCTGTTAATTTTGTAAGAAATGCCCAGATGAATACAACTACCCAACTTACATAAGTGATAAACTAGTTTAATTCAGTTTCCACAGCGCTTTGTCGGAGCTTGTGTGAACAGTCATTTAGGAGGTATGTAGTATGTTAGGATGTGATTTCAAACCAATATGCAGGGAAAAGTGCAGGCTAGCAAACATAGATTTACTGTATAAAAAAAGAAGATTTAAATGTTTTATGAAGAAGGAAATGCATTGAAGGCCTCAAGGATACACACAATGCAAACAGGACGACTCCACGGGGCACCTTTAGAGTGACATTTGTTCATACTCGCTTAAGTGACCAAATGCTACTGAGACCAGTCTGCTATCATTGAGGCTAATTAGCATTTCTTTATGTGAGGAAAAACAAATCACGCAGCTGTTTTACAGTCGGCTATAGGCAACTATTCACACCTGCACTCATAAAGTGAAAAACAAGCTAAAACAATAATCTTTGTTGGGCTTTATAGGCTTTCACTATCATCAAAGCCTGAAGCAAGAATTAAATGTAAATCACCAATCAACCAATCAGTCAAATGTTTTGCCATTAAACTCCAACACAGCTAAAAAATACATATTTTTTTACTAGTTGAGCATCATAAACAGGGCACAGCCTGGATATGACCTGTTTAAAAGTGCTATGTGTAGTATTTTGTCAGTTTCCTGTCCCGAGGCAGATCATCTTCTTTCCTTGTTTCACTTCTTCCCCTCCCAACTTGAGAGAAAACAATTATATAACAGACAAAAATGGACCCCGACTGTCAAAATACAGTAAAACACCTTAAAAAAAGTTGTTTTTCTTTTGCTTCTCTAACTGAAAAATGTACGCATATTCCTGTAGTTTACTGTTCATATTTATATTCAACAGATGTCCTTAATAATTTAATTTATCAGCATACAAAAAAACTACAGCTCCCATTACAGCATAACAGCAAAATAACAACATTTTTAGTTTCTTCCTCTGAGCCACTAGCTTAGCTAACTTTACAACACAAATACCACACAGAAAAGAGCCGTGAATGTGCTTCTAGTGACCATTAAAGTTCCAGCAGCCGCTTATGACTGGTTAGCTCTGTAAGCATCTGACTACCAGAAGCTGTACAGCTCTTGTGAACGGTGGTCAGTCTGTCACTCTGGCCTTTCTTACTTCCCACTTTAAAAGATTCTCATGTTTTTTTCTATGACATAAAATACGTCAGTAAATATCCACCTATGGATATTGAAGCCTTTATATGCCACTAACAAGTGGCTAAATGAAAATACAGAGGTAAACACGAAGACTTATCTACTCACTAGTCCGCCTTTACAGCCTCGTTGTGTTTATACTCTTACAAACTATTCTAACTCAATCTTTACAACTTTTGTTCAGTAAGATAATCTTCACAAATTAACTCCACTTTTACGTTTTGTGAAGCTTAAATATGATCGCCACAAGTAAAAAGGTAAGGTTAGTTATAAAGGTGGTGTATTTACTGACGTATTTAAACCTTTAAGCTTGTGTTTACCACAGACCTTATTTTCAAGCATCTAACCAAAAACCCATTGACTTCATTAGCTAAAATGCTAACTCAGTTCCAGGTTTTTGGACTCATTCCTGCAGCGCTCTATTTGTGAAGATTATCTTGCTGAACAAAACATGTAAGTATTATAAAGTATTAGTATTTTCCACAACAATCCAATATCCAATGGAATAATCCGATTGGCTTTCTGTCAGAGAACAAGGGTGATGCTAACAAAAGTACGTCATCCCTGCGGCAATTTATTTAAACTTAAATGAACAACATCCAGTTAGCTCCCGCCCAATTCGATGTTAAAATACTACACATAGCACATTGAAATATGCTGGAGAACACCTGCTTTCCATCCACGGAGAATCTTAATTCTCAAAGTCAGATAGAGATCTCTTTCATACTTTATATTGATTTTCTGTAATACATAAAGAACAATATCCATCTAAATATATTAGTTTCACTGATGTGTCCTCTGTCTCTTCTTTTCAAGTTCATAATCTCCGAACAGAAAATAAGATCTGCTGTGCTTTCGTGTCCGGTGGCAGAACTTGTGGCTGCTTCTGACCTCTGCCACTTCTGACCTCTGCCCCGCTCCAACGTGAACCTCCTGTTCCCTGCGGGTGGCTCAGCACTGCTCCTCCCCCAGCGAGTCTGTGTTCTCCCCCAGGTCTATGGAGGCCGACGCAGCTCTCACCTTGCCCCGTCCGGGACCAGGGCCCGGGCCCGGCCCAGGACCTGGGCCCGGGCCTCCGACGACGAGCCCGGCTCTGGTTCCGCTGTGGTGGCCGGGGTAGACCTCCACGGCGCTGGAGATGGACTGGAGGGAACGGTCCCGGAAGTAGTGGAAGGCCTCCTGGTCCAGGTAGTTCTGCTCCTCGCGCAGGCCCTGCTCGAACAGCTTGCGCTTGTGCCTGAACTCGATCACTGTCTTGGTGTAGGAGTTGAGGGTGGTGACGGAGGCGGCCATGCAGCAGGTGAAGGATCCCCAGGCCATGCTGGTTGGAGACAGAGAGACATGTTGGTGATGATAAGATAAGAATGGAGGGAAGAAGAAGAAGGGAATTTCTACTCCGTCCAGACTGAAATATCTCTGCAAATATCAGATAGATTACCAAGACATTTGGGACAGATATTGATGTTCCCTCGAGGCCACTTAATCCTACACACTGGTGCTTTAAGCTGCCAATAATCAATGTTTAAGTAAAAACAATCATAAAAGTCTAAAGCCCTGCTAGAGGCAGCAATTCTAATGATTCATGTTAATTCTGGGCTGATGGTGGGGCTGCAGAAAAGATCAAAGATCATCCACCTAATGTGTACTGTGTGTTTATACACGTAAATCCCATTAAAGGCAAATTTCTACAAATTCTTCCTTCCATTAAAGTCTGTTTCCTCAGTTGGAGAGACAGTCTACCAGTCGGAGCTTTGCTAACTATCTAGCTAGCTACATTCATCATGAGCTATGCAGGTTGTTCTAATTCGACTCAACAGAATGAACCACTGTTATCGGCATATTTGTTAATTAATAAAATAATTGTGAAAAACTGCTTGTCACAAGTGCTAAACAGGATGTTGGCAGGATGGACACACCGTTACTGATTAGTATATACTGGTTTATGATTGGATATTCCAATAGTAGTTAAGATATCTTCCTCTGGAGACAAGTGTTGGACGGACAGAGGACAGAACGACCAACCTAGCAGGGCAGAAACACTGGGAGGTACTCTGAGAGGGAGGTGATTGAGACTAAACCCACTCTGTGGCGAGTCAGTGAGCTCTTCAGCCTCGGGCACTGCTCCAGCTAATGTTAGCGGGCTGCTAATTGAGAGACTCTCGGCTCTGAAGGTAAAAGGTGTGACATTAGGGTTGCTGATAGGGAAGCTAACAGTCCCTCTGTGCAGAGTCGAGCAAGAAAAATGACAAGCAAAGATCCATAAAACCTTCTGAGGAAGTAATCCATGAAGAGAAACTCCAAAATGAGGTAAGTTGACCGACGAAATCCATAAATTTTTATCGAAAAAAAAAAAAGAAATCTGAACTATTAACTTGGCTTAATGTCACACAGCCATCAGTCACTTTTGCATGACAGATAAAACTCAAAGTAAAACACAATAAAAATGACAATAATAAACCACACAGTAACAACACAATCAATCACCAACAACATATATCACACAAATAAACATCCAAAAATTTTTTAAACTTTCTTTTCTGACATAAATATAAAGCAGTTTGACTGATTACTGATATATTATGGGATTGATTAGTGTGTCAGCTGCTGTAAACGAGACCCTGGTGAATGTAGAACTGTAGATTTATAACTTTTATTTTTTTAACTTTATTGACACTGAAATAGAGAAGAAATGGAATTTTTCCAAACATAATCTTATAATATCTACCAAGGATGTAACTGATCACATTGGGATGTAAATAATCAGCTCAACAGCTGAGTAGAGCTGCTGTTTTTATCATCTTAAATTAAGGATTTATTTCCACCAAACCAGAGTTGGTGATTGTTGGAAACACTAACAGAGACGGTTTAATGAGTTTTATTCTGTTTCTGTTCACTTTAATGAAGTTACGATGATCTGAAGGTAAAATGAGTGTTTCTGTCTCTGGAGTCTGGTGGAGAGTGATAGTGATATTACAGCTGTTTCTGGTTAAACAAAAGATCTATCTCTGTACGGATCCTTGCCATAATGTTTTCAG